CGGAATTCACTCGAAAGGGTCCGTTCTCTCCCAGGTTTCCAAACAGTGAACTACAACCGGGCCCTCCATTCAGCCATAGGACTACCGGTGCGTTCTCGGGATCTTTTTGACTCTCAACGAACCAATAAAAGTGATGTTTGCCTTCAGTTATATCCAAATAACCGGAATATTGTTTAAAATTAATGGGTTCTGAGAGACCCGGAAGACTCACAATTTCATCCTCATTGGCGGCTAATACTAGGCATACGTTTAATATAAATACTGCGAAAATAATGTAATTATTTATTGAATTCATTTTTTAATACTTAAAGAGAAAATTACAAATATTTAGATATAATTATAAGATTCACTTAAATAAAGCAAAACCTAATATTTTATATTCAATGTTGAGTTTAGTTTATAGATTAGTGAAGTACTCTAAGGTTAAGAGTAGTCTTATGGCACGTCTAATCTCATTGAGTGTTATATTTATAATAAAATAGATAAAAAACTACTTATTTCTAACAAGTACTAATAGTTATTAAATGTATTTTTCAAAAAACTAAACATTGTTAAAAATTATATATTATTTTCAACGATATTTAAGTATTATATATAATTTTGGAACTTAAGTTTTCCAAAATAAATAATTTTTGATTTTTAAAATAATTATTAAAATTTAACAAATTATTCTTTTTTATTTATTGTATAAACAAAATTTATTAAACTACTATAATATAGTAGTATTAATATTTTATTTTTTATCACAAATAATATCCTTAGCAATTAAAACTTGATGCACATAAAAGCTTCCTGTACAAAGCTACCGGTGCTCTAATCCAGTAGTGTTTTCGGGAGAATACTTATGAGTAAAAGCCATAGTTGAGGTTCAAAAATATTTTTAATACCTTTATCCATTGCTGAAAAAATCGTACCTCGCAAACCTTTTTGGGCAACCTAATATTAATAAAAGTAGCATTGCAAATGAAATCTAAATTCTTGAGTAATAAAAACGGTATTAAACTGAACAGGTGACATTAGTGTGTAAATTAGATTAAGTATTTCTTTGAATTAGTTTTAATCTATTATTAAATAATTAACGAGAATTATTTGTTCTTGAAGTATTAATTAAAAATTATTATCTCTTTATATCATAGATGTACATGTGGGATATGTATATCATTTCTATATACTAATATCATTACTAATTGAATAAGTTTAAAGGTTTTGTGCGTTTATGCTTTATATTATACGTTTACTATAATTGTATTTTTATATTGTTAAATTTAAACCATACAATTTAGATTTTAATTTTTACATAATATTGTTTTTGCAAGCATAATTTTATTCTTTAAAATCTATCATTATATCAATGTTGTTATCATATATTTGATAATCATTTTATTGAAAACTAAAATACTGTAAAAAATTCAGTATTTTAGATATAGTACTGTAAATTAATTGATTATTAATTAATCATATTATCAGTTTAATACGTTTATAACTTATTTATTAACATAGTTACTCAATCCCGACAACATTTTTGAGTAACTGTAGGGCAGCCACTGGTTGGTCGTGAGGAACCATATGTCCGGACCCGCGAACTAATACGAAACTCAGGCCTTTCTCGTAGTGCTGAGTAAATCCACCAATAAATCCATCGGGTGTGTGCCAGGCACTTCAAATTATTTATAATTATATTTAAATTACTATTTTAAATAATAATCATATAATTTAATCATACCTATAGTGACCATCTTTCTTAAATGCAAGACTATCAACAAATCTATTATTATCGATGTGATCGCATACGGTGTCGAAGTTTCCATTAAATATGACAAGTTTTCCGATATTATACTTATTAATCAAATCCATAATAATAGGTCTTTGGTCTGTAAACCCTCCTGAATAGGATCCGCCGCAATCATTCCAGTGGTGGGTGTCCTCAGGGCGTACGTGCAGTGCTTTACGTACTTCTGGTATGTTTAGGTAATCTGTAAACCCCTGGTGCGGACAATTGATATTTGGTCTTTCATTGACTGGTAATTTGTTGGAAGCCTTTGCGTAATATTTATTGAAAAGTCCCAGATATGCAGAATTAGCGCCACAATCATCGTAAACATTGTATGGATTGGGTGATCCAGTCGTTTCCACTTCTGTTGCCTCACATTTACTATGAAAATAAAAATTTAAATTTAAGTGTTACAGAATATTTTTGGATTATCTCTTTGAAGAGTCAAAAAACTTATAGTTTACGTATAAATGTTTTAATAGTCACTTACGTCCTATTCGCGGGTTTATTGAAATCGCATTCATGTAAAACATCGCCTGATTTACATTCACAACAATTCTCAATGAGTTTCTCGTATGACTCGGTTGTAAGGAATCCATGGCCTAAATCAAAGTCATAACCAGACATTTCAACCAATGGGGCATCTCCTAGAACTCCATTACCAATTGCAACACCTATTTTATATAATGTAATAAATATTAAAAGGAATATCTACTTTCTAAGATTTTACATTACCTTTTAAATTAATTGTAGATTTAGTGCTGAATATTTCATGGGCTAACATTGGGATATAAATTCCGGCATAACTTTCACCCGTTATATAAAATGGGTTTTTCTTCAGATTTGGAAACTTTTCGAAAAACGCTTCGAGAGCTAAATGGTTGTCCTCTGCGGTAGACTTATCTGTGTTGTGATACTTCTTATCGTCTTTATAACTAAAGCCGACACTAACCGGGGATTCAAGATATATGACATT